ATATAAATCAAGATAGCCGTTAACACTGTTAAATTATATAGGCCTATAAATCATCATTAAAGAAAGGTAAATACAGTGTTCGAATAAAGGACATAATAATACATCGTGTAGCATAGCTCTCAACGAATGTAGTCTCACAGCGAAGGATTGAAACCCGACTTCGAGGTTGGGAAACCAAACCCTTCCCGCTGCGCCAAACCACTCCCCGACATAGCATACCCCATCACAAAACATGCACCATATGAAATAGATGAGGATGTGGCTGTTGCATGTGAGGGGAGGAGATTGGATTGTGATACTTGTGTTTGGAATTAGGATTTGACGGTCAGTTATTATAAGAATATCACATAGGGCAACGGGCATTACCACATGGACGATTGCCGAGTTGAGGATGGGTGGGACCTCCCAAGACGGGGGATCTCTGAATTCTTCCACATAGGCAGATTGCCTTGAATGATAGAAAAATCTCGTTTGATGTTGCGGGAAAGAATGTTAATTTGAGTGCAGTTTTCAAATGCCATAGGGATGAGTTTACGTTTTGGGAGTATATTGGAGCAATTGGTCACGCGATTTGTTGGATATTTTGTCTATGATATGTTTTATGACTCGGATAGGATCATTACTTCTAGTCAGTTTGTTAATGAGGATACCAATATGTTTCTCTTGTTCCTCTGTAGAGGAACTTACTTCATTAATAACAAATAGTTTACCGATTGCTAAACATTTTAACCAAAAAGATCATAGTACTAACTGTATGAAATTCATTTAGTTTCTAGCCGGTTAAAAACACTTATGGAGCTTGTTTATTCATTAAATTTATTTGGTAGAGTCTCGCATTAGCATAGAGAAGGCATTAGTTAGACAATAGAAGTATTAACCTTTATTCGGTGTCCGACACGGGCTAGTGGGTACTAATACTATCGTATATGCCAATAATGCCTCTATGCTCTTCGCATTTAATTACCCAGTCGTTGAATAAAAGACCTAATGCCTTGGTATTCCATGGAGGTACTGTATAAAAACTCCATGGGTATTCAAACCAAGGACTTTGAACAGTTAAAATTCCTTGTTCAAACTATAGGTCGCGACACAATTAAGGTTGCCACTCCTATTTTTTGTGAAATGCAGGTGTTAACTTTCATTGGTGTTCGACACAGGCAAGTGGTGAATAACAGTTTGTGATATTCTAAAATTGATTATATCAGTGCATTTCAAAATTATAATTTTTGAGGGCTTCTCCCTTGAACCCCCCAGAGTATCAGGGCGGCCTTTGGCCTCACCCACTTACGCTACCGTCAGGGAAACCAAGCCCCTGTCAAGGGGAAGATTTAGGGGGCGACCCAACCCCCTTTCGAAAAGTCAAAAAGTGAGAGAAAAGAAAGAAAAAGAAATTATTGGTCGCCCCAAACGCATTAGAGCTTATTTCTGGGCGTCTAGATTTAAACAAAAAATGTATTAATTGTTAATTAAAGTACAGTATCATTAAAAGTGCTGTGTTCTTTTTTTTTAACTGTTTTACATTTCTATCTGTGGCTCGAGCTTACTTTGGTGGCAACATTTAAAACGGTAATGTAATTTAGCGTCAACAGATAAAGTGGATTGTTTACAACGAATCCAGCTCTATAACTGGTCACAATATAATTACATACTTTGATAAGATCCTCCTTCTTTGTTTGATGATAGTGACCCCCTTAACCATTAAGGCCATTTTAATCGAAATATAAACTGTTTTCTGTCATAGATAAAATTTCCATGAAAAAATTAGTTGAACGAATGGTGGTCTCCAATAAGCTATGCTCAAATATAGGGCCCCCATTTCAAAAAGTTTAAATACCAGGGGATTAGAACAGCTGCTGAGACCGCATAGGCACCTCTAAAATAGTTGCGAAGGTTCCGATTATCATTAGTAGTCTAGTTATTACTAGCATGGGCCATAAGGGGTATGGAGTAATGAGAAAAAATTTCCCTACCCCACAGGGGAAATTTAAACTCAGTACACCCCTACTTTCAACTTCAAGGCAAATTAATTTACATTTCGTAATTTTTCTATTTATCATCTATAAAGTGTTTATATTTTTCCATCTATATAGGATATACTGTATAAGGGGCGGGGCTTACTCTCTAAATGCAAACAAGTGAAAAAAAGAGTGAAAGAGTGACTACTGGGACCACTCCAAAAAAGAGTGAGATTTCACTATATTCAGAGTGAATTTTAGTAATTTTTCACTACTCATTCAAGAGTGAATTTTCACTCTAGAAAGAATGAAATTGAAGTGGTCCCTGTAGGCACTCTTTTCGAATAAATAAAGAAATTCACTCTTTCTCATTAAGAGAGTAGTGGAAAGTCCGTTTTAAGTCGACCCCACACCCGCCGTTAGTCTCAACATTGGATGAGATGACTACGACTTGGTAGACTTAAAATACAAAATTTATTGAAAATATGAATACCCGTTCTTGCGTCTTCCAGATAACATTCGAAATATTATATTCATGTTTTGAGTAGGCCCTATATTTTTGTGTTTTAATTCGACCAAGTCATTGTCATCTCATCGTCTTTTTCATCGATTTATATTACAACATTCGATTTCCAGCTTTTTTATGTGTAGCAACTGCTATGCACTTTTTGTGTTGTGTAGCAATTCCAATTTTTTTTTTTTTTTTTTTTTTTTTTTTTTTTTTGGCGGTGATAATGAATGAGTATTAAAGAAAAGAAATGACACTTTTCAATAAGAAAATCACAGTGATGCGTCTTTATTTTCTAACACTAAAAGTACTTAAGTAAAACAATGGTTCATGTACATGTAATAATAATAATAATATGCAGAAATTTATAACGCACCAATTCAAAAAAAATTATCAAAGGCATTGTATGTGTGAACTCGATGTAAACAAGCATACTGCGCTTTTTTTGGTCCAAAACATTTGATAACAACTTGACTTTGGCTGTTTAAAAAAAAAAAGAAGTCGGGATATTTTTATGCAACAATCCTCTTAGTTTTTACAGTCAGACCTTGCTGAAGACTGAGTAGTTAATTCTAGGCAAATAATTGCGACGCATTTTTTTGTGATGCATTTGTGGAAATGCTTCGCAATTAGTGTAAAACGTGTCACATTTTGCGATGCGATACTGGGTAAATCGAACGCTGTTTATATATTATCTAAGGCATGGGTAAGCATAAAAATCGGTCGGAGGGCCAAAGTAAATTTTTGATTGAACACCGAGGGCCACACAAACTTTGATGTTTCCAATGAGCTCCAAAAACCTCTGCTTTTACACCACTTTATTCTCACTTTAATGTTATTTGTTACATATCAACCGTGTCGGGGTTATTAATTCATTAAAAAAAATCACTGTCGGGTTATTCAGGTTCTGTGCAACACCTTCGGCGCTCCACACACCGCGACCGAAATGGGAGTTTAATCTTTGGTATTATCTTGATTATTTTTTATTTATAAAAAAAAAGTTGAGAAGCGGGACAATTCGGGGATTGGGTGGGACCTAGGACAGCGGGATACGACTCCCAAAAGCGGGACACTTAAAGTTTATGGGAGACACATGAACGAAAATGGACAACGCTTACTTGAACTATGATCTAGCTAACAGTTGTGAGTGACAAACACGTTACCTCGTACCTCGCTGGAAACATCGTGGATGCACCCAAGGTCAAAGCATTGGCACCAAATCGACCTGATAGTTACTAGAAAGAGAGATTCGAAATCAATTTTACATACAAGATCATATCGAAATGCAAACTGGGATACAGACCACAGTCTTGTGTAACAGGGGCGGCGCTAGCGGGCGGGGGAGGGCTGCAGGGGAGAAAAGGACCCCCCGTCGGGGACATCTGGACCCCCCGCTTGGACCCCCGGTCGGGGAATTTAAAGCAAGTTCGTCGGGGAAAAATCAAATCTCGGGCGCCGTAATAGGACTAATCCCTTTTAAATAAATAATCTCATAATTAACACATTTTATTATCTTTAATAAAAAGAATTCCCCGACGGATCCAATTTTTCCCCGACAGGGGGTGGGGTGGCTAGGCTTCCCTGACGGGGGAATGGCGTGGACCACTTTGTCGGGGAGCTTGGACCCTACCACCCCCCACTCGTCGGGGAATTCCTGGCGCCGCCCCTGTTGTGTATTCAAAAGTAGCCATGACATTGAAAAGGGATCATAGAGCACGGAAACAAATGCAGAGGAAAAACTTAAGGTCTGCGGCGAGCAGTTAAGAGAAAAACCAGGAATTGTGCCAATAAACACTGGCTTCAACTTTGTGAAAGCATACAGCAAGTTATAGACATGGGGAATGTGAGGGGAATGTACGAGGGTAAAGAAAGCAATTGGACCAGCTAAACATAAGATGGCATCTCTAAAAGATATAAATGGAAATCTGATATCTGACGTAAATAAACAGATGGAAAAATTAATTGAGCATACGAAATACTTTATAGTAGAGAATCAACCATAAACGTGGATGCTCTATAAAACTTGCCAGAGTTTGAGGTGATGCAGGAGATCGACCAGGATCCACGTAGCAGCCCCGAGAGAAAGAAGAAAAGGAGGCGTGTACAGCAGTCATCATTACTGATCGAAGGAGCCACTCATCTGGTGCCTGGAGTGTTTAGACAATGTGTAACCATATATATTTCTGGGTCTAGGAATAATGAGAAAGTCTGTCTATTTCCGTAATTCGTTCATAATTAGGCAAAATTTCCGTAGCAACTACTAATTTTAGGCGTAGATGTTGTTGAGTAATGAGCATCCCATTCTATAAGGGTTTTCTTTTTAATTTATGTCGAAGAAAATGCATATCATCGTCATGATACATAGCCTAAATAATAGGCTTATTAAAATAATTATCATTTCATTACCACTGTAATTGTTTACATACATATAGGCCTATATATAAATAATAATTATTTGTTTACGGTGCTATAAAGCTGGCTTGAATATTATATATTCTATAAAAACAATGTACTATACACAAAATTGCATCAATATAATCGAGAACAAAAAACATGGAGATAATGCATCAAAATAAAAGATAATAATTTGCCAAATGCTTTTATTTTTAGGAATGCATTGGACATGGCAAATTCTAAGTTTGTTAAAATTTGACGGTGACTTTAACAAACTCAGTTTATCCGCTCAAACGAATTCACCACCATCAAGCCCATTTGAAATTTCAATGAAGCTACAGGATGCTACAGCCTACCATGCATATGAATATTTCGAGAAGTTACCGTCTCCCAGAATTATTACAACGCACCTTCCAATGAATCTGCTTCCAACACAGGTGTTTGAGAAAAAAGTGAAGGTTTGTATATGACTTTGATTCTAAACTTGACATCATCATCATCATCATCTGCCTATTTCACATCCACTGCTGTGTGAAGCCCTCTTCTATCATTTTCCATCTTCTTCTGCCTGATGCTACACTCTTGTCCAGTTTGCAGTTTCCACGTACGTGACATAAACATACTTTAGTATGATATTGTGTTCGTATAAAGTGAATTGGTTGTTCTGGGGCTAAGAATATTGCCGTCCAGTCCAGGGTTAATGTTTTGTGGGCAATAAAGATGTAAAAATAATACAAAATACAGAAATTGAGATTAAGGACGTAGGGAGCTTTTTATCTGTTCTCAGTCATTGTTTGTTTTCTAATGATCATTAATTATTTGTTTTAACTTCTATTAGCTTGCTGTCTCTTATACACATCTAGATGTGTATAAGAGACAGCAGTACACCCCTACTTTCAACTTCAAGGCAAATTAATTTACATTTCGTAATTTTTCTATTTATCATCTATAAAGTGTTTATATCTTGGAGGAGAATTACCTTGGAATGATTTTATCGACACATTCATATCGAATAAAGGTAGGCCTAAAACTCTATGTATGCCTAAAAGTCAGGATAATTATTAATTAACACAGTCAAGAATTTACACATTATGAATTTTGCAAAAAAAATATTGGGCGGCGATTCCACAGAGAACTAAACGCGACGACGCGCACGCAACCGATCCTTTAATGACGATCCGCTAACTTTCCAACAGACAATCAGCAGACGGCGGCGTCGCGTCGTCGTTAATCGCTCACCGAGAATGGAGATGGATTTGTCGGCCGATCTTACAAAGCAGTATGTGCTCGGCTTTGCACATCATATGCCTACAGGTTTAAGAGTGCTGCTTGTGTTAAGAACGGTTTCCATAAAATCGCTACACGCTATCGCCAACTCCTTTGGCGATGCTGATTGGTCAATTGGATCAAGGAGCGTTCCCGATTACTTCGGGACAACTACACAGTGCAAAAAAAAAAAAACAAAAAAAAACAAAAAAACTGTAGCGACAATGTAGCGATTGTATGGACACCGAGCTTGAAGCTAAAAACCCTTACTTTTCAGTATTAAAGTATTTCAACAAACTAATTGCAACTGATCAGGGCCATCAATACGCGCATGTCCTACCAACACAAAAGTTTTACTAATGCTGACGTTGTTATTTTGTGAGACCTAAGCAACATCATTTCATTACAGTAAAATAATCCATTAATACTAAAGGGCGAGGATTAGTTTTAGCAGAAGGTTCATTTTTCTCATGGTTACCCCTGGTACAAGATGTTATTACATGGCTTATTCTTGTTGTACTTTTTATTTTATCGTTTCTTGCATGCTGCACTCCAACTATAATCAGATAGGCCTATATAATCAATTTCTTTTGATTTTCATAGCATCTTATGGTACGTGGTCGTCCCATGTTCTACCCTTTTGGAAACGCCGCGATGAGGATAATGTGATGTTTTTGAAATTCGAAGACATGAAAACGGTAAGTTTACGATTTTTTTATTTATTTTGCCTTTCATAAAATGTTTTTATTTTTGTATTTTATAATTATGAACTGAATATATTAGTGTATGTGGAAACAAACGTTATTTGTAAGTTTTTGTCTATCAATTCAACATTTTGCACTGCAAATAAGTGTATTTTGTATTTCTGTAGCTATTAACTTCATCAATATACATATCAATTTTGTTCAAAATATGGAAGATGAATAATTATAATAATGTCGCCTCTCTTTCTTATTTGCATAAATGAAAAGAGAAATACATTTTTGTGAATGAATGAATGAATGAATGAATGAATGAATGGGTAAGTGAGTACCGTATACAACGTCGACATGAGGCCTATAAATGTATTTAAATTTTTAATGTATAAATGATTGTACGCTATTTTAAACAATTTTAACATAACTTTTTGTATTAATTATTATAGGGACTAACTATTATTATTATTATTATTATTATTATTATTATTATTATTATTATTATTATTATTATTCTTATCATACGTATAAATGAAGAATAATATACATTAAATAAAAGAAAACTTGAAATTACACAAAATAATAAATTTTTATCCTAGAACACGCACGCAGCAGTTACCAAAATTGCGAATTTTACAAACAATTCAACTTCAGAAGACGCTATACGGAGAACAGTTGCAAACTCATCGGTTGAGAAAACGAGAGAATTTTGGGATTCCAACCAAAATCGTGGAATTACTGCAAAAACATTGAGTGTTGGGTCACACGTACGAAAAGGTAAGCAGAAATATTTTCGTCGCATATTTCGGCGCCAAGATTTTCCAAGGGGTGAGCTAAACTGTCCGGCAGTGGGGTCTGAACATTTCAGACGGAGGCTAGACTGGTGGATTGTAGGGGCGAATCGCCCCGGGCGATGACCTGGTGGTGGTTCACGGGGCTAACGCCATTTCACGACGACAGGGAGATAAGCGTGGACTATACAATAGCTCATACACTAACTCTCTTCTCCTCTAAGGGTCTCTTCGTGTTTTAGCTGACTGGTAAACTGGTATTAGCCACTCTCGTCTGTCCACAACAGGGGCTGTTAGTACACCGGGGTAGCAACCCTACTCGTCTCGAACGATGTACTGGGTTCTTTATAGTGCACATGAGCCAATTGTGTACACTGAGCCTGCGGTATATAGGCCTAGTCCCTTTTCGAGAAGACTTGTTCCTTCTCCAGAACCATTAGCGAGCGTGCCGTTCAAACCAGCGCCGATATTATGACTGTAGGTTGCGGCGCCCCGCCTTAACCGCCGCTAACCGCTCGGCCATTCGACTCGATTATTAAAAATGTATTACTACCCGATTTTTAAATTGGCATTAATATTATTTATACATCAGTTAATTGGCATACTGAAACATCCAGATTTGATCACATAACACCTATTCTTCATCATTTCACTGGCTTCCAACCAAGAAATGTATCATTTTCAAATTGCTGCTAATCATTTACAAATCGCTCAAAATTCAATCACCAAAACACAATTTTGATCTCAAACCCACTAAGATCTTCAACCTGCACTAGATCCCTTAGGTCGCCTACCAGTACATCGGTTTTGTTCGTCCCTCCCAGCCGCCTTAAGACATACGGCGAGCAAGAATTTACAGTTGCAGCTCCTAAATTATGGAACAGCTTACCCGAGTCAATCCACTAGTCCCCTCAGTGGATGTTTTAAAGAATCAGTTGAAAACCCATCTTCTTGGTTCACTTTAAATTAATTTCGTATTTTTTGAGCGCCTTGGGACGATCTAATGATTGTGTAAGGCGCTATACAAACACACTACATTTCATTGCAATACATTATTTTAAAATAAATATGCAAATTAAACAATTATGATATTATATCTAGATTCTTCAATATTATTTGATCCATTAAAATATCAACATTTGATCAACATACACATTACATTGTACCTTTAAACATATCGAAAGATAAAAATATTATTATCCGAGTCGTATTAGGCCTATGCATCACTAAAGAACATATTTGTCCAATTATTATATGAAAAAGAGGATCTTGAGAGTGACGTGCAGTAACATATTTTGTACATTAGTCATTATAATTAGGTTAAGTTAGGTTAGTTAATTAGATATTTATTTTTATGTATTTTTGACCAGGCATTGTTGGAGATTGGAAGACCCTATTTACAGTAGCCCAAAGTCAATCTTACGACGTTCTGATTGAAAACGACCTGAGGGGTTCAGGACTTGAAATGAAACACGAATGAGAACCATGTCTTTTGAGAGGTATAGGCATACACTCATTGTAAGGTGGGAAACAATCTAAATTGAAATGGATGCATATACACGAAAACAGAAAGTCTCTTCTCGTCAGATACGGGATATGAAAAATATGCAATATATTTTGCATTGTCTGAATATTAATTAAAAGAGACTGGGCTTGAATTTTTGTATTTTGATTTATGTCATAATGTATGGTTCAAAAATCGATTACAGAGATATTTTATTTATTAATATTACGTTTTAATTAATTTTAATTTTGTTATTTTAACGAGTGCTATGAAAACAAACGGGTCTTGTTTGGTGAGACAATGACAATATGCATGCATTATAGTATACTACATGTATATATCTTTCTTATACTCTATTTTAGGAAGCTTTAAGGGTGTTGCATACCTTTAAGAAGGACCACGGCTTCACCCCCTCCCTCATTTGTAAACAGTGTTAGAATTTTAAGACTTGCTTTTGCTAGCCAATACAAATTCTTTCCTGGGATCACTCAAAATGAATACTTTTAAAATACGTCGCATCAGCAAACGTTATACATATAGTTTGGTGTTTATTTTATGCTGTACAATTTCTAATTGACTCCTTCTAATATAGGTTTGAGACTCGTGCTCTGATAGAAATCCACCATAAACTTCTATCAATCAAATTCACCCGCTAACCTGATAGTAACCCATTGGAATATTCGTAAGATATTTTTCACTATAATGCAAAAATTAAAATTTTCGGGTTTTAACGACTGCTGCTTAAGGGGATTTATCAAATTTAAATTCGTCTTAAATCCATAAATCCCAGGCCATGTCTTGTAAGATACAGTAATGTGATATTGTATGGTTCAGTTTGGTTTTTATATGCCTGACTGTTTTCTGTGCGAGATGGAGCTGTATAATTTCTTGAGTTTAAATACTGTATTTGTTCATATCAATTGCAACAAGACTATAGTGAATTTTGTAAACATTGCTAATTTTGCAAGTTGACGTCTTTCAGCCTGAGTTTGTGGATTATAGCATTGATATTAGCTGATACATTCATATCTGTTAAGGGTGAACCTAGCAGCATGGGGTTGATTTTTTTTTTCTATTTTTCTTTTAAGAACATAACGGTATGTGTGGGGATCCAAAACAACACTTGTAAGGTTGTTCTTTAACTTTTTTATTAGTAATATTAAAGTTACGTCTGAGGAAATTTAGTGTATTATTTGCTTTGACTGTGGATATTATAACAAAACCAGTTCTACTTTAAGTACATTTAGATTATGCATATTCAGCGAGAGAGCTAGAAATTATAGGCCTACATATATTTTTCATTATAGGCAATATTACATTTATGTGTGCGGTTTTGGTCCTTAAGTGTAAGAGCGTGAGACAGACTTCGAATAGGCCTATGTGAGACTCACGCCGAATGCGTGAGCCTTGACGTGTATGAACATGTACAGGGCAAAACATTTGATAGTCGCAGAACTATGGAACGCATGTATCCCTCAATGCCAAGTGTCATTTGCCCCATAATTTGTAGCTGTGCCGACAATAGGGAAGAAAAACAATATTCAGAATGAAATTAGTGAGTATTGTGAGGGGTTGAATAGCTAAGAATGTAACATCAATTTGTATCATGGAGTGTATACTCTATTAACGGGCATTAAATCACCTAAACTACTGTATAAACCAAGCGTGTTTTTAAATTCTGTTGTTAATTGTTTTGAAATTCACGTACAGTGTATGTGACGGTACTATCAAGATGGGCTTCTTTTCGACGCTAATTTTGCAAACTGAAGAGATCGAGGTTTTACGGATAAAATTATTTTTATCGGTCGAATTAGGAGATTGTTGAATTCCGAACAAATACGATACGACATTATTTGTTGAAAAGTACTGTAAATCACAACTGTTCTCATTACAAACTACTGTAGTTTCTAATTTTTAATGATCAGCTATTGAAAGAATAAAGTCTACATAAACGACATTCAAATTAACTTTAATGTGAATATACGATTTTAAAGGAAATCAGAAATAATACCAGTAGGAAAAAATGCCATTAGGAAGAAATACCATTAACAAAGGAATAGTCCAGGGGTGTTTCAATAATTACACACTTATCTTTTGACAATTACAAAAAGCTATAATGATATTTGTTCAAGGGTAAAAAACAAAAGTTTATATATAATGACAAAGCTCATTTGTGCTTATTCGAGAGAGGTGCTTGAATTAAATGGTAGAGTCCTACTTGGTCTATAATGTATAAGCATATGCCTCCAAGTGCAACGCTTGTATGACTAATTTCGTTAGAAATCGATCGTTTAATAGTTTCTCGATTGTACATAACATCGAATCATTGCACAAAGGGCACAAAATAGTATCTATCTCAATAAGGCAGGCAGAGCATAATGTTGGTATCGAACATTTTTTTCTCCACATAATTTTAACATAAACTTTCTTTTTTATTCATTATTTATTTAAAATATACAGGATACAATTTCAGAAAGGATGTAACATTTTTTTCTTAAAATATCATAAGATATAAACACGAATATAATAAAAATTAAAAATTAAAAAAAACCGGTTACACAGTGACACAATTAAATAATTTTAATCCTAAGTTAGTACTGTAATTAATAAAATAGATTTTCTTATAATTGAATTTAAAGCTGTTTATATAACACCATGTTCCTATTTGAGCACTGTTATTATTTATCTATTTGCTTATTATATATTTATATACATATATATATATATATATTATTATTATTATTATTATTATTATTATTATTATATGGTTACTACATAAGGCCATCGTTTTGTCCTGTGAGCGGGCCGCACTAAAGTGCTGTGATACCCTCCGAATCAGGGATATCATCAAGTATGACATCACCCTTGAAACGAACCTTCTTATTGTCAACGTGCTCATTTGGATTTTCTTCTTCTCCAGTCTTGGTCATCGAGATAGAAGTGAAATCTGTTGACGCTTTATCACCTCCATCATCGCTTGTACCATTAATATCAATACATGTATGGTCTATCGTTTCGGTCTTTTCAGGGGTCTTTTTGAAAACCTCGTGATCTTCTTCTACTAGGGTGTCCTCTGTACCCCCTTCAATTGTGCCAGGTGCAATGACAAGTGGCTCCTCGTATTCCTCGGATCCCACGGATCCCAGGCCAGTGTCCTCTTGATCCGCATCGGGCTTATCATCTTGGTTAGCTGATTTGTCGTCGTTTGATTTGTCTTCCTCGTTGATAAGAATGCCTGAATCAGCATCATTAGAAGCCTTATGTCGAACGAGTTTACTACTATCGACGTACACACGAGCGACGGTGGTTTTTCGAGTACCGTTCGGAGTTTTTGGAACAATTGCACTATCCCAATCGATGTTGTAAGGATCAAAACCATCGCTAACCTTATCATTACCATCATTCATCAGTTCTGATACGTCTTCCTGAATTAAAAGAATTAATATTTGATCAAATCAATTATTCATTTGTTCGTAATTACCAAATGGTAAAAATAGACTCCCAACGGGAGCGAGTGTCTACTGCTTGATTTGGCTATCTTTAACTCATAACCTATCTACGCTCTCTGTGTTTCTCATGAATAACTGTACAAGTAACAGATTGAATTTCTTTCTAAGACAGGCCTAGGCATGGCATCATATATTATTTCATAGACTTATTTTTGGCAGACTGTTCATTTCTATTTTTTAGTTTATGATGACTGAGGTGTATCCCACCATTCCTCTAACCTGATTCACCCTTAACCTTACGAGAGAGATGACAGCTAAGTGTCTACTTGCCCGCAAGCGAGAGTAGACACAAACACGTCCAGTATTTAAAAACTACAACCGCTCCTCTTTCCAATAGTGCACCAAATCATTAATGTAATAACGTTATTGCCCATGTTTTGCCAAAATATGACCTTTTTTCTTATAACAAATTACAAATATTTGTTTATATGTAGTCTTTACCATCGATTCGTAGATGTTGTTGATTGGAAGCTCGTCATTTTCTGTGTTATCAGCTGTCTCTTGTCCAACCTCGTCGATTGTTGATGAACTGTAAGAGAGAACAAACATAAATACAGTAATATCTTTCCTTAAATTAAAATCTATTACAGTTATAAGCTAAGTAACAGATATAACGGTGATGTGCTTTTTCTAGCTCACCTTTGATAGGCGTTATTGGTCGTAACAGCAGCGCGTCTGCTGTACCCGTTGGGCAGATTATGAATATTTTTTTTGGTGAAAGGTGTATATAAGTGCAACCGATAATACCAAAGAGTATAGAACTGCAATTGATTCTGCATGCATGCAATGAAACGAAAAGCGGCGGGCGGGGTAAAAGTTGACCATTTGACTAAGTGGAGAAACTACAGGAAACAAACGAGCCCGAGCGGCGCTTTTATTATTGATATATAGCGCTGCCGTCCGGACGCGATTTTTTTCCCGTACGAAACATTTACATGAAACTCCACTCGGGCCGTCTCGACTGAATCGACCCAAAAATCTCAGATAAACGTCTACAAAACAACGTTTTGTAGAACGTCGCATGTCTAATTTTTGAAAATACATTGATGTTACCATGCTAATACTAATGGGTCGTTTAAAATAACTGAATGAATATAATATTTGATTGAGCTGCACGAGTAATGAAAAGGGTTATTTTAAATTGAGTCACATACTGTGACAATTTTTATTTTTTAGTTAGGTCTGGGTTTTACATAATTACCTAGGCCTACTAACTATTAAAAACATACTTTCTGGGAACACAGAGACTAAGGAAAAGCGCGTTTCTCGGGCCGTTTCTTCATCAAATGAAACAGGGTGACAGTTATTTTCAAACTAAGAGCTGAGAATAGGCAGTTCTAAAATACTGGATGCCATAAGAACTGCCAAAATGGCAGAGCAACAATGAATGTATAAATGAGGCCTAAGCCTAGTTATTAATATCAGGCATAGTAATCTGCAGTTTCTTGATTACAAGGCTAGACCAAGTTAACAAGTTAATTACATGTAATGAAGAAATGATTATTTATTATTATTATTATTTTTATTATATTATTATTATTATTATTATTATTATTTTTATTATTATTACTTAGACAATGGAGGAATTAGAGAACAATTGAAAAATCGACGTTAAGTGGAAATGATACAAAAAATATTCCCTTGGGCTAGTTATAGGCCTATTAAATAGTATGGTTCCTTATTACAAGGTTTAGTCCAAGGTAATTAATGCTGAAATAATAATAATAATAATAATAATAATAATAATAATAATAATAATAATAATAATAATTATTATTATTATTATTATTATTATTATTATTATCATTATCATAATTTAAAATTACATTACAAGGATTTCGCCAAGTTCAATAACGGAGCGGAATGGTATATTGTATTTATTTAATAATATTTATCTTATGCAATCTACTTTTTATTTCATGCTTCAATTTTTTTCAAAATTTCAATCAACGTCATGTGAAGCGTGACTGTTGGTGTCAGCCTAGGACCCTAGGGACCTAAGCCTATAGTTTAAGAAGGGGCCTAGGTAGGCCTTAAGTCAGCTTGTAGTTAGGCCTATAGTTTATCCTCTTTCTCTCTAGCCTTTGGTATTGCAGTACCTATCTACACTTTACAGAAGGGGGTACTAACTGTTGTTGTAGATATTATACTAACATTTAATAACATCCAAGAAGGTCACAGTTAGTTACACACCTACATCCTACATCCCATAAATCCGTAAGATATCATAGGCCTACCGTAGGTAAACATAGAAAAGGGGAATAATAGTAGAACTCGAGCGTCACGACATTGCGAGGTGTCTGCTCTTGTTCCTCGTATCAAACTCAGTCGAGTCAATCCGAAATGGCCCGAGAGAAGTTTCATGCAAATGTTTCGTACGGAAAAAAAATCGCTGTGCGGACGGTGTAAAATTGCTCTCTGTGTACCCACAATGCATTTCGAACGGATGTTCAACTATATTGGGAAGCTGCTCTATCTTCTGCTATTTATTATCTGCTACAGGTTCAATTCAAACACAACTCCGGCGATTACAGCTGCAACGTTATGGAATACTCCCCAGGGATGCGAATAGAGTTCGAAGCTCGAACATGCGTTCTATCATGGTGGAATGACATCTAGTATTTCTTTTCGAGTTTTCCAGATAGGAATGCGTGCTTCAACGAAACCCGGAGAGTCGGACCTCTTGATAATACCCGGAGAGTTGGACCTCTAGCGTAACAAAGTGCGACAGTACACCGTCTTGTAAGCTTAACTGGTCTTTGTCAAAAGGCAGGCAATCAGACACAAAATCTAACCTATCACAGAGCATTGCGAACGTACGAGTTCTCTGTAAGCTTTAGCCTTTGCCCCATTCCCGGCAAAATTTCATTTTGATATAATATGTTAGAAAAATTTATAAATATAATACAAAATTGCTAGTTTAACTGAACATTCCTAAGCATGAAAAATGCAAAAATAAAACTCAAATTTGACAATTAAACAAAATAGTTTCATGCGAGGTGCGAGGAAGACAAACTAATATCATTAGAGAGGGCGCACTTTATTCATCGCACAAGACCGTATCGGCGACGTATAACAGTTCAGTGAATCGGACTAATTAATGCTTTTATTTAATTAATTGTGGGATGAATTAAAATATCTTATCATGACAGTTCAAGGCATTAGTGGGAGAGATTTTTTTTTGTCTTTCGTGGGGATCACCCACCTTTATTTGTCCTCTTTTCTCATGATTTTCAATTTTTCTTTTTCTCTCCTATTATACAGTGATCTTATGCTGTATCAATATTTACATATGCGTTCACAATTCAAAACAATTTTGCATTTATACATTATTACAATATAAAACAAATTTAAAAGAAAAATTAATTGAATTTCATAAGCATACTTTTTTTTAAGTAGGAGAAAATTGCACATTTCCCGTGGGAGAGATAAAAAATAAAGAAGAATGCGGCGGGTTCGCGAAACAATTACCCTACCTACCGGACGCTCGACTGTATTGAAGTATACACAAAAAGCAACTGAGAGCATGCCATGCCAGCAGATCCGCTCTCAACCTCTGAATTTGTATAGTAACAAAGATGTCGTCGAGAAAATGGTAATCTATAAGAAATAGGCTCTACTTCTCAATTTTCTCTCTCTCTCTCTCATTTAGCGTAAAACTAAAATTTGTACCAATAAATGACTGGTTTATAATAATCAGAATAATAATAAATAGGGCTTATGCATTTTTTCTGAAAATTTCACTAAGAAAATGGAATGTTCTTTAAAGTAAGAGGTTGTTTATAATAAACCGGTATCATAAAGGCCAACTCAGACAGCGTCGGGCGACGCAGCCCGACCTGATTTATCGTCGGGGACAGTCTTAAGCC